TTCCCCCCCTTCATTTTTCCCTTCCTTCTCCTAACGTCCTCCATGCTATTCCTTATGTTCCACAAATAAGTGAAACCGTATGATAATTGACTTCCTCTGCTTGACTTATTTCACTTAGCATAATCTCCTCAGTCCCATCCATATTTTCTTACCTATTTATATTGAGTTAAAATTGATATGTTTCAACTGTACAACATAATGATTTGATATTTGTATGTATTGTGAAATGATCACCACTCTAAGTCTAGTCAACATCCATCATTATACAGAGATACCAAAAATGTTCTTCTTGTGATGAGAACTTTTAGGATTTATTCTCTTAGCAGCTTTCAAATACGCAGTACAGTATTATTACCTATCCCCATACTGTACATTACATCCCAATGACTTATTTACACCTGGAAATTTGTACCTTTTGACCCCCTTCCCCCATTTTTACCTATCTCCCATTTCAGGTAACCACCAAGATGTTCTCTGTGTCTATGAGCTCAGGTTATTTTTTCAAGATTCCACATATAAGATCATACGGTATTTGTTTCTAACTTATTTCACTTAGCATAATGCCCTCAAGGTCCATCCATTTTGTTACAAGTTGCAAGATTTCATTCTTTTTATGGTCAGGTAATATTCCATTGGACATTTAGGTTGTTTCCATATCTGGACTATTGTAAAGAATGCTGCAGTGGACATGGGATGCAGATATAAAGATATTGAGTTTGTGTTTTCATTTTCTTTGGATGGGTACCTAAAGTGGAATTACCAGATAATGTGGTAATTTTATTTTTAATTTTAGGAGGAAAGTCCATACTGTGTTCCATAGTGTTTATATCAATTTACATCCCCACCAACAGTGTGCAAGGGTTTCCTTTTTTCCACATTCTTGCCAACACTTATTTCTTATGGTTTTGATAACAGACATTCTGATAGGTGTGAGGTAATACCTCATTATGGTTTTGATTTGCATTTCCCATTGATTAGTGGTGTTGAGCACCTTTCCATGTACCTGTTGGCCATTTGTGTGTCTTCTTTGGAAAAGGGTCTATTCAGATCCTCTGTATATTTTTTAACCGGGTTGTTTGCTTTTATGCTATTGAATTGTATAAGGTTTTTTTATATTAACCCTTTATCAGATATATGATTTGCACAAATTTTCTCCCATTCAGTAAGTTGCCTTTTCATTCTGTTGATGGTTTCCTTGGCTGTTCAGAAGCTTTTTAGTTTGATGCAATCCCACTCGTTTATTTTTGCTTTTGTTGCCTTTGCTTTGGGGTCAAATCAAAAAATTGCCAAGACTTATGTCAAGGAGCTTACCACCTAGGTTTTCATCTAGTTTTATGGTTTCAGGTCTTCAAGGTTTTTATCATTTTGAGTAAATTTTTATGTAACAGTCCAGTTTCATTGTTTTCCATGTGGCTGTCCTATTTTCCCAACACCATTTATTGAAGAGACTGTCCTTTCTCCATTGTATATTCTAGACCCCTTTGTGGTAAATTAAATGAGCATACGTGTGTGGGCTCCCTATTATATCTGGGCTCCCTATTCTGTTCTATTGACCTGTATGTCTGTTTTTACGCCCATCCCCTACTGTTTTGATTACTATAGCTTTGTAATATAGTTTGAAATCAGGAACCATGATGCCTCCAGCTTTGTTCGTCTTTCTCAATATTGCTTTGGCCATTAGGAGTCTTCTCTGGTTCCATACAGATTTTAGGACTATTTGTTCTGTTTCTGTGAATAATGCCATTGGAATTTTGTTAGGGATTGCATTGAATTGTGTGGACATTGTGATTCCTCCAGTCCATGAACGTGGAATTTCTTTCATCAATGTCTTATAGCTTTCAGTATAAGAGGTCTTTTACCTCCTTGGTTAAATTTCTTACTAGGTTTTTTTTATTCTTTTTGATGCAATCATAAATGGGATTGTTTGTTTTTCTGCTAGTTTGTTATTAGTGTATGGAAACACAACAGATTTTTATATATTGATTTTTGTATCCTGCAACTTTACTGAATTTATTGGTTCTGTTTCTATGTGTAATATCACACCATCTGCAAACAGTTACAGTTTTACTTCTCTCTGATTTGGATGCACTTCTTTTTCTTGTTTAATTGTTCTTTTTCCTGATATTAGAGGAAAAGCTTTCAGTTTTTCACTAGTGGGTATGATGTTAGTTGTGGATCTGTCATATATGGCCTCTATTATGTTGAGGTACATTCCCTCTATACCCACTTTGTTGAGAGATTTTATCATTAATGGATGTTGAATTTTGTCAGATGCTTTTTCTGCATCTTTTGAACCATCCTTGCATCCCTGGAATAAATCCCACTTTCAAGGTACTGTTGAATATGATTTTCTACATGTAATTTAAATATGAATACGATTTGAGTATTTTTGCATCTATATTCATCGGAGATATTGGTCTGTAATTTTCTTTTCGTTTGTTGTCCTTGTCTTGTTTTGGTAGCAGAGTAATGCTGGCCTCAGAAAATAAGTTTGGAATAGTTCCCTCCTCTTCTTTTTTTGGAAGAGTTTGAGAAGGATTGCTATTAATAAGTCTTCAAATGTTTGGTAGCATTCACCAGTGAAGCCATCTGGCCCTGTAGTTTTGTTTATTGGAACGCTTTTGATTACTGATTGAAACTCCTTAGTAGTAATCTCTTATGATCCTTTGTATATCTGTGGTATCAGTGGTAACATCTCTTCTTCCGCTTCTGATTTTATTCGAGCCCTCTCATCTTTTTTTCTTGGTGAGTCTAACTAAGGGTTGTCAATTTTATCTTTAAAAAAACCAGCTCTTAGTCTCATTGATATTTTGTCTTTTTATTCTCTATTTCATTTAAATACCTTTTGTTTCTAATCATAAGACATGGAAGTCAGGCGTATTGGTTAGAAATAATTCCTAAAATATGGGAACATACAAACAAACACATGCAGAAAAACTATCGTTAATGTTGAGATGTCTATATTTTGAGAGACTTTCTTCTACTATCAGGGGAATATATCCCTGTGCTCTACTCTTTCCACTCAATAATATATACATTTTTTTTCACTCCAACTGATAAAAATCACTGTCATCAATTTTGATGGCTTTAGAGGTTTCTACTTTATGGATACATCCTTATTTAACAAATCTCTGATGAATGACCATTTAGGTTATTCTAATTTGTCACTAACATCTTTGGACACCTGTCTGAGAGGCAGTTTCCTTAACAGAGAAGAGGACAAAAGGGAGTCCCTTTGACAGGGAGAGCCTGAGTCCCATCCGTGTTTTACCTGGAAAGCCCTGATGGTGTAACCACTATAATGTAGTATCTGCACCACCCATTGCCTAGTGCTGTGGGCAAATGATGAGGGTAGAGCCAAAAGCTGGGCTCCCAGCTCGAAGTTCTCCCCTCTCCACCCCCTTTGTCCAACTGGCCATCCAGCTTAATGTTCTGTTCTCAGCTTTCAAACATCCCCAGAAGCAAAATTTCTTACCACATTTTCTCAAATCACTCACCAGGTCTGCATTCCTTTATTCTGAAACCATTTGCCAAGAACCATCCATATTTGCTTTTTTTTTTTTAACATTTTATTTATTTATTTGACAGAGAGGGAACACAAGCAGAGGGAGAGGGAGAAGCAGGCTTCCCGCGGAGCAGGGAGCCCAATGCAGGGCTCGATCCCAGGGTCCTGGGATCATGACCTGAGCCAAAGGCAGACGTCCAACAACTGAGCCACCCAGGAGCCCCCATATTTGTTTTTTTTGTCCTACGTGACAAAGTTAAATAAGCCACCATGGTTCTGTTCTGTTCACTGGCTGTCCTACATGCTGTACAAGCTCCAGTCTCCATCACTCAGAACCCACCAACTTTGTCCCCAGTCTAGAGGGACACACCTAGAGGCCAAGTAAACTACTTTCTTTGCTCCCCCTTCCTCCCCTCTCTAGTAACATCTCATCTGAGGAAGCTCAAGTCTCTTTCCTAGGGCCTATGGAGGGTCCAAGCTTTCTGATTACAATGTGGGAAAATATTCTACCAAGTGGAACAGCAAGGTTTTTTGCTAAAGGAGATGGAAAAAATAACTCCACAGTTTAAGAGAAAAGATGATGTACATAAAGGAGAAGGGCCCAATCTCAGGCAACTTTCTAGCAACAGAACTGATCACTGGTATACCTAAACTTGGGTGCTAAGGTCAAGTGAGTCAGTGGGAAAACAGTCTAAGAAGGCTGCTTGGGGTGCTGTGGTTGGTTTGGGGCTATACAGCCAGAGAAAGGGGTCTAGGCGGCCAGACCTGCTATGCTTGAGCCAAGGCATGGAGGTGGCATTTGGCCCAGGCTGACTGTCCAAGACTATGAAGTGGCAAGTGGGATGAGGTTATAGGAGTATGGAAGAGCAAGGACATAGATGGTCTCCAATGCCAGGTCTTGCTGATTGTGACAAGGAGCCTCAGTGTGATACACTACCCAGCCACTCCATCTTCCAGTCTCTCTGGCCCTTGTGTGGTTCTGAGTGGTGGGAAAGTCTTCGGCTCCAGTAACTGTGCTTCCAAACCTGTGTGTCTGTCCTCCAGCTATGACCACGAGGGCCGCCTGACCAATGTGACACGCCCTACGGGGGTGGTGACCAGTCTGCACCGGGAAATGGAGAAATCCATCACCATTGACATTGAGAACTCCAACCGTGATGATGATGTCACCGTCATTACCAATCTGTCTTCAGTGGAGGCCTCCTACACAGTGGTACAAGGTAAGCCCCCTGCCCACTAAACTCACCCATGGACCCCAGCCTAAGCCTGGGAGGACTTCCAGAGACTGGGAATACCCATTAGCTTGTTATTTTAGTCAAGTGTCCACAGCAAACAAATTCTACAAGAGGTCAGTCTTGTAGAAAATGACTTAATCAGATTCAAGAGAATGTCATCTATACTAAATGAAATGTCTAGAGCTTTGGGAATGTCTACATACTTATCTGAAAATGTCAGTTGTCATCCCCACTCACTCTTACCTCTCCATCATCAGCACTCCCCACCAACCCAACACATATAGGTACCTTCTCCAAGGCTCTTTATCCTTTTGGGTTCATCTCTTCCTTTTTTGACCCCATTCTGATTCTTCTTCCAAGCACTTGTTTGTTGAATTGATTGTCCTGGAATCAGAGCCCTTTAGCAATCTCTTGCCAAGACCGGGATCTCAAAGGTTTCTGACCACCCCATAGTTACTAGTGCTGTTTGACATGACACACAGTCCAGGACAAGCACAGGAGCTGGCAAGAAAAGGAATTGTGCAGATTAATTTTTCTTTAATGTCAGTGGGCTAGCCCATTGTCAGAGGATAAAAGTGTCCTCTCAGTAGATAAATGGTGATATTTCTGGACTATTATCCCACGACAGAGCCTGTTTCAATGACTCTATTTCTGCTCTGCCAAATGATTAATGATGTAGATTCTGTCTTTCTGCATGATGGCTACAGTTTCAGGAGTGACAGATACACATTTGCTCACTATCCCAAAAGCCAGCGTCTCAGAAGCCAGCCAAGTGGACTCCTTTGCCCAAATAATCAGGAAGCAATATATCTGTAAAAGGAGTTTCAGACACATTTCCTTCCTGGAACTTTTCGATAAGGAAAAAGGTCACAAGTCTGATTGACTAGTGTAGATTTCCTTTGGGAAGATAAACGCATGTTATCAGCACCCACTAGCTCAGTCTACCTTATGCTGTTTGAATCTCTTCAGAGTTCTCTTGAGTAGAGGTGGCATCATGGTGGAGTCAGCAGCAGAAGCATGAAGGGCAGGAAGGTTGCTTTTTCTCTTGATCTGATCTGTAGCTAGACCATCAACTTCCAGGTTAGATGGTAGGCAAAAGGAAAAAATATATATATTTTATCTTAAATGGGAAAAAAAGACTATGTTAAAGATTAGGGATTTGATTGACACAAATTGTGTAGGCAATAGACATCTTTAAAGGTACTATTAATAGTCTTCAGTGAGTAGAAGAAAAATATCACAGCATAATTATTTCTGGAGTGCCACATATTAATAATGTTTTTCCTTCCATGGATCAGTAGCATCTCTGCTACTCACCTTAACATTGTATGTGTGCTAATTGAAGGCAGCCTTAGACTGACAGCTGCAAAGTACCATGGAAACCTGTAAAAATAGGGGTTCTGTTCTCTTATGACTAACAGAGTGGATAATTTCTTTCCCTATCCCCACCCCCACTTACATTTCTCCAGATCAAGTGCGGAACAGCTACCAGCTCTGTAATAACGGTACCCTGAGGGTGATGTATGCCAATGGGATGGGTGTCAGCTTCCACAGCGAGCCCCACGTCCTAGCGGGCACCATCACCCCCACCATTGGGCGTTGCAACATCTCCCTGCCCATGGAGAATGGCCTCAACTCCATTGAGTGGCGCCTAAGAAAGGAACAGATTAAAGGCAAAGTCACTATCTTTGGCAGGAAGCTCCGGGTAAGTGGTTCCACCCCATCTGTCACCTCTAAGTGGTAGGGGATCCACACTTTCCTCAGGAGCTGAGGAAATTTCCCAGGTCCCAAGCCTTCATTACTCCTTTCTTCCATGGGAAAGACAAGTCTTTCTCTCAGAAGATAGAAGCCATATCCCTTTGGGAAAAAAAGTGTCGGTTTCCTAGGAGAGAAAGAGGTGGGGATTTACCTTATGCTCTAGCTTGGGATAGCTTCAGTCTTCTTGTCACACTTGCCATCTTCTCCCTCGACTTTCACTCTTTGGCCAATTCGACAAAAACTTGGTGTCTACTGTGTGCTGAGTAATGTGATGAATACTGGAAGAACGATAATTTTATAATGTACTCTTTACCCTCAAGGAGTTAACAGTCCAGTAGAATATATAGATGCAGGATAATCCAGTGGGTTAAATGAGCAGAGCATAGGGCCTGGATGGAATCACAGAGGAGGAGATATCACCCAGCCTAAGGTGATCAGGGAAGGCTTCCCAAGAGGAAATCACAAGCAAACCATGGCAGAAAGTTTTAACCAACCGTAGCTTCCCCAGACTAGGCAGCTTATCCACAAAAAACTAACACACGACACTCATTGAGGACTTTCATGATACAAGTTCTATGTTAAATGCTTTACTTATTTTCAACAGCCCCATAGGGATACTTACCTCTGTTTTTCAGATGAGGAAACACAGGTTCTGGGAAGCTACATAACCTGTCCAAAGGCACCATGGCTAGAAAATGGCACAGCCAGGACACAGTCCCAGTTCCATCTTTGTTTCTGGCTCACTTGCTAATATCCTTAACCACCAAGCCCCACAGCTTCTGGATTAAATTCACAGTCATCCAGATAATCTGGGTCCTGCCCTAGTCACTTATCTGGTACTAGGAGGGACTGATTCTTAACATCATGCTAACCCCTTCCCCCATGGCAGGGAATCCTAGGGATCCCAATCCTCATCAAATTCAGCACATATTTACTGAACACCTACTACAAGCCAGCACTGGAGATCAATATGGCACCCCAAGCAAAATCCCTACCTTCCTGCAGCTTACCGTCAGGGGTGGGGAAAGGGACAAGAGGGACAGATAGTACACTAGTAAGTAACTAAAGTAACTGCAGATTAAGATGAGTGTTGGGATGAAAGTAAATGGAGCACGGCAGGGTTTAACCACTACTTTGGAATCACACTTGGGTAATAACTTTGGCCTGTTATTGGGTTGAAATCCACCCAGGCTAGGCTACCTCCCGGCAGGGCCAGCCCACTCCATATTAAGATTCTGCCTTTGTCTAGTTGGAGCTTCATTCCTCACATTAGGTTATCAGCAGTCTCCCATGTTTTTCTTCCTGTGCTGGTATCTGCAAAGTTGCAAACGGCAGTATCTTCCTAAAGACAAAAATGAAATGAGATTAGTAGCTAAATCCTTAATGACTGGATTTCAGGGCTGTATAATTGATTTTTGATATGCTGCACTGTAGAACTTGATTATAAGTAGTAATCGTGCTTTTTCTCTAATAAATCAGTTATGCATTTTGACTAAGTTTTCAAAATAAAGATAAATGTGGCCCTAAAATAAAATGGCTATAATCCCAACTCTGAATATTAAAAATCTTAATAATGATACTTGTGGTAATTAGCAGAAGTTAGGCACGCAAGTCTTATAACTGAATTTCTGCCAGGGTTAGATTTGCTGGCATCATGTTTATGCAAATCAAAACACAGCTTTATCTATCAACACCTCAACATTTAATTGTCTGGTGTTAGTTCCTGTAACAATAATCACATATCCATTTAGCTCTCTTAAATGAAAATCACTATGAGATTATAACAGGTTGAGTGGACTGAAAATGTAATTTGAAAATGAGGGAGAAAGCCTGGAATTTATTTGCATCTCATTTATTTTAATTCAATTCATAAATTGTTTAGTGAATGAAATAAAAGCAACTCCTGGAAATTGCAGGGGAGCAATTGGAAGAAGGTGTAAAAGAAAGGTGGAGCGTGCTGTGGATGAAGAGAACCAGGGAGTGTCCTTTTAGTCAGGTTCTTTGTGAGCCCAGCGCAGGGAAGTTTGCAGCCCCTAAACCATGGGTACCTGTGGGTCCACATAAGGCAAGCAGGCTCTTCTCTCCTCAACTCCAGTGCTGACATTTCTTTTCCCTCTATCTTGACTTCCATTGTCAAATGGGGCCATGAAATTTTTCGTTCATTCCTTAGGGGAATGCTACATTTTACAACTGTCATCATTTTCCTGTGTATAACTAACTTGTTTTTTGGTTTGTTTTTTTTTAATTTTCTCTTGGATTTAAGTCTCCTCTGTATTTGGGCTGCAAATTAAACCAATATTATACATTTTTTTTTAAAAAACGTGTTTGCTAAGTGCCAACTCTATGCCAAGCACTATGGAGTGAGTAGACTAGAGAGAGAGAAAGAAAACTAAATGCTTGCCAGCATGGAGAAGACAATGTGAATCATGTGGTGTAAGCTGTAACAGAGGCAATGTTACAAGGAAAGCGATAGTGGGTTGTGTCAGGAGAGATAACAAATAAGCCCTACAATCTCAGGAGCTTTCCACATCACAGTGCAAATAAGGCAGGCGGCTCATCCTCATGGTGACTCACTGCGGTTGCTGTCTTGCGATCCCACCACAGTAGGCAGATGACCTCTAAAGTTGCTCTGGAAGGACAAGGGGGCTGAGCGAGCAGAGCTCAGCATGACCTGCATCACTTCAACTGAACCGCAAGACAGCCCAGGAGACGTTGTCTTTCTGAGTGCCTAAGGAAAAAATAAATGAAAGAGTTGGTGAATACATAGCAGGGTCTCTGCCACCTTGATCAGGAAGAGCTTCACAGAAGAGTTGGAATCGGTTCTGAAGAGCAGTAGGAATTAGCCTGGCAAAGATATGGCGAAGGGGTGATCAGAAGTGTTGCCTGTGAAGCAACAGAGAGATCAAAAAGGGGAAGAGCATTTCAGGAAACCTTAACCAGTTGGGCCAGAGGGAAGGCGAATGTGTTACACTGTGGTACAGAAAAAGAATGCATCAGCCAAAGGCAGCACATGGAAAGGAATATTTGGCTAGGCTGCCATTTATCCAGAGGACAGTGGGGAGGGTTTCCAGGGTTTAATTTTAGCAGAGTGATGTGTTGGGATGTGTAGTCTTAGAAACACCTCTCAGGCTTCCTCAGGTGTGGAGGAAGATAGATTAGAAGGGCACAAGACAGGGGGAGAGGGACAGCCCAGAAGCAATTGCAGTAATCCAAAGAACTAAATCACTAACAGTAAAGAGAGAAAGAAGAGGGAGGGAGGGGTCTGAGAGATACCTTAGCACACACAATTAAGAGGATTTGACAAGTAGCAGGGTTGCTGTATCAGGCTCTCCTTTTGAGGCTCCCTCCCCACAATCATATGGACTGGGAAACCAAGTGGCTGTCTAGGCTCTGCGAAGGAGAAAGGCTAGGGACTGAACCCCAAGACAGACATGTGACATTCTGGCAGCCCCAGCCCTGCCTCTTGGAATGGGGAAAAAAATGTTGCTCCTCCATGAAAAGCAGGGAATTTGCAGAGAATCTGTGGTGCAGCAACAGGGAATATCGAGCCTTGAAACAAGCCGACTTACCTCTCCCAGGGACCATCAAGCTTCTAGGAGTCTGGCCAGTTGAGCGATGTGAGGACCCAAGGCTGAGTTTCCCTAGAATTCAGAAGAAACCAAAAATTCCAATGAAACTACCAGGATAGACCAGTTTCCCAGTGAAATTCTAAACCTTCTTCCAGCAACCCAGTCGGAAGGAATGTGTCGGCAGCATTTCCATATAGGCTAGTGAAATGTAAGATGGCGGACGGATAGACCATCAAAGAGCCACATCCTTCCACCAAAAGCTTTATGATGCTTTGGCAAAATTTAGAGTATTAGTCCCTTCTTCCCAGCCCAAACTCAATGTGAGAATAATTTTCATTATGTCTCCCAAGGACGTCTCAAGGAATTTCATTTGAAAGAGTCTTTTCCACTCCTCTCCTTTCTCTGTTCTCTCTGGCCTTTCAAAAACACATGAAACAGTTGCATCAGGGCATCTGTAAGCTCCATGAGCACAGGAACCACTTCACCACTCTATCCCTGGTGACAAGTGCCATGTGATAGGCACTCAGACAACACGTAAGCAGGGAAGAGGGGATGACCATGCCTCTTTAAGGCTGCTCCTCACAAGGTACATGTGTGTGTGTGAATTCCTCCCCCAAAACTCACCCAAAGCAGGCATGAGTTCACAAACACATTTCCCCAGTATCTGTCAGGAATCTTTCCACTGCAAAACACAGGAAGCCCACTCAGACTAGCATAATAAGAAAGGGCATTCATTTTCTTGCCTAATGGGCCCCCACAAGCCCAAATGATGTCATCAGGCTGACACCTCTTTCTTTTTCTCTTTCTCATGGTCCCCTTCCATCCCCCAGGATTACTTCTCTTGGCAGTTGGCCTAATTTTCCGCCACAGTAGACCAGTGACCTCGTCACACGGGGGAGTCAGGCAGAGTTGGCCAAAGATGACTTCAGGCTGACATCAGCTTAGCTTAGTGAACCCAGAAAAACGGATCTCCCACATCACTTACATTAAAAAAAAAAAAAAGAAAAAAACCCAGGTGACCAACTTGGTACAGATGCAGATCTATGATTGGCCAGTACAAGGTCACATGGGAACGCATGTATCTTATGTTGGACATCTCAGTAAAACCACCTAAACAGGGGAAACCTTAAAGAAAGGGGGTGCTGCACCCAAAGAAGGAAGGAGTAGGTTAAATCACTCACTCTCTCTCTCGCTCTCACACACACACACCCCAGATATATTCTATATCCTCCATCCCTCCAGAGCCTAAGGCAAACTCCTGGCCCTGAGGCTCTGTTCATATATCATCCCCCACCCCCAACCTTCCCCATCAGCAAGTCTTTTTTCTAGATTTTTTGGAAGAGAGAACAGAAACCAACCTCTTCTACTGAGATTTAAA